GAAAGACCCCATTCTAACTAGTGTTTTAAAAATCTCCCTCATTGTTGGAGCCAGCAGGCAGTGTGGTGGTTAAGGCACTGGATTTCCACATGGCCAACTGCAATTCGAGTCCCAGACCCAGCAGTGTGAAAATCACAGGGCCAGCAGTTGGCATAACAGTTATGACGCTGGACTCCCACATTGTCTACCTCAGTTCCTGTTCTGGACCCAGTGACTTCAGACTCACGCTGGGCGCAGGGTGCATGTATGCCCGAAATCCTGGGAGGAGAATGGATTGCAGCATGGCCATCGCCCTGAGGGGGTGACTTCTTACCTTCCCTCTCACTGTCTCTGTCTCTCTCTGCCTCTGGTCAGCACACACACCCTACAGCTAAAACCACTTAAAAGAAAAGAAAATCATGCCCAGCACATGTGTGTGCATGCCCAAAATCCCGAAAGGAAAATGGAGGAGAAGGAATTGCAGTGTAGCCATTATTTTCCCCCTCCCCCAGGGAGTGCTTGCTCACTTTCCCGCTCTGTCTCTCTCTAGTGAGTGCACATGCCCTATGGCAAAGACCTAAAAATAAATACAGATCTCCTGCATTGCTTTGATGAGAGTAGAGTGGCTTGTGAGGGACCAGGACGAACGAGTGAGGAGGTTGTTGCCGTAATCCAGGCAAGAGGTGATGTTGGCTGAGAGGTGTGGTAGGAGTAGAGATGAGACCTCTTCTCTAAGTCTTAGACGTTCTTTAGGAGAAGGCTCTAAGTCTTAGACCTTCTTTAGGAGAAGGGAGGCGGCAGCCCCTTAGCTCCATCAAGCTAAAACTACCTTAGTCAGAATTCTTCCTACTGAAGATGATAAAAGCCAAACTCAAATTTATGTAGATTAAAAAAACAAAATCCTCCTGTAGATCAGGCATGACTGTATGCAGCAGCCCTAGGTCTTTAGGACAGACTCACTCCTCTTTTCTTTCCAGCTTCCATTTTGTGTTTCCTCTAAGTTGGCCTCATTTGCAGGAAGGCCTTCTCCACCTAGTGACCTCTGACAGCTCCTGGCAACCCTCACTGACAAAGAGCTTCTCTTCCTCAACTGTCCCAACCAAACTCCAAGAACTGAGCCTCACTGGCCTCCTCTGGGTCACCTTTTCATTCCTGAACCAGTCACTGTGGCCAGGAGGAGGGACCACTCTGATTGGCCAGAATAAAGTTAGGTGTCCTCCCTGCACCTGAGGGAGTCAGACAGCCCCACCCAAACCCCAAAGGGTGAGAGGGAGAAAGGCGAGTTCCCCGGTGACTCCAGAGGCAGAACGAAGGGGTGTTAGGAAGGTAAAGCTACGACATGGGCATCCCGCTCCATTCACACTGGAGCTCCAGCTGCTTTGGAGATTATTGAAAGGAAAAGCAGGACTGGTCCCATGGCCTAGTGATCAAGGGAGCCAGATCACACATGACCAACCTCGACTTAAATACCAGCTTCTGGGGCCAGCAGATAGTGTAATGGTTACATCACTGGACTCCCACATGGTCGACTGTGGTTCGAGTCCCAGGCCCAACGGCTTAAAACTCACAGTGGGCATGTGTGCACGTATGCCCACAATCCCAAGAAGAAAGAAGAGAATGGAAGAGAAGAGACTGCAGCATGGCCATCCCTCGGGGGGGTGATTTCTTGCTTTCTGTCTCTCCAGCAAGCACATATGCCCTAATAGCAAAAATCTCCCTCTCAAAAAAAAAAAATCTAACCCCTGGCAGCTTGAAAAATATACTGAGCACCTGTGCATGCCCCAAATCCTGACAGGGTGGAGAAACGAAAGAGAAGGAATTAGCTTGCCCGTGCCCCATTGAACGGTACTTTCTTCTTTCTCTCAGTTGTGCTGTCTCTCTTTGGTGAGCACACATACCCTCTGGCAATTAAAAAGAAATGAAAGAAAGAGAAAAATAAAAATAAACAAATAAAAATTGCTCTGGGTATATTGGAGTGTGGTCCTGGCCAAGCATTGAGATCTTTAGTCATTTCTGGAAGGTTCTCGATGGGTCCTAAAAACACTCTGGGATCCACTGTGTATTCCCCAGCACTTGAACTGGGGCTGCCTAGATGCCGCCTTCGGGCCATGCCCATCCTCTGGTTGAGGGGCAGCTCCCTGAGTTCTGGCCTGCCCTGGGGCAAGCCGTGCCCTGTGGGGACTCTCACTTCGTTAGATGCCAGCCATGTGGCCACCACAACCCTAAGAGCCTCCAGAGAGCCTGAGCTGCTTTACTGTCGTATTAGTGTCATTATTTTAATGACTGTCACTTTTATGTCTTCCTAGCTTTTTATTTATTTATTTATTTTAGATTTTTGTCCTAGGGCTTGTGCACTTGCTGGAGAGAGAGAGACAGAGGGAGAAGGGGATGGTGAGAAATCACCCTTGAGAGGGGATTGCAGCATGGTCAGTCTCTCTTCAGGAATTTTTTTTTCTTTTTTTTTGGAGAGGTTTCCACTATCGAGCGTGTGTGCTCACCAGAAAGACAGAGAGACAGAAAGTGAGAAATCACCCCCCCCCGGGGCGGGGTGGGGATGGCCACGCCGCAATTTCTTCTCCTCCGTTCTTCTTTTGGGATCTTGGGCATGCACGCACACGTGCCTGGTGTGAGTTTAAGTCACCGGGCCCGGGACTCAAACCGCAGTCGACTACATGGGAGTCCAGCGACATAGCCATTACGCTAACAGCTGGTTCCCTCTCTTCAGGATTTTGAGCACACATGAACTCACAGCTGACGTGTTTTCAAGCCGCCAGGTCTGAGACTCAAACCAGAGTCGGTGTCGGATCCAACATGCCACCAGGGGCCCTGTCTTTTATTTTCATTATGAACATTTTTTAATATAACAGAAAGTAGAATAGTGTGATGAACGCCTGAGATTGGTCCACAGCCAGTCTTGTCTCATCCGTACTCACACACACACACACACACACACACCCTTTCCGGTACACACCATTTTGAAGTGAATTGCAAGTATCTCACTATTTTCTTGGCAAGTATTTTGATGTGCTCTCAGTGACAGAAACCTAGGCAAACAAAGTGAAGCACCCAAACCATTTCTGCCCTCCTGCCATCAAATTAACATCTCAAAGAGCTCCACGGCCTGGTTTTCTCCTGTATGTCACAGTCCTTTCCAGTTGATTGGTGTGAATCAAAAAATTCAGGTCATGTTTATTTACACATTGCAATTGGTTAATGTAGTCTTCTCATTGTCTTTTTCTAAGTCACGTGTGATGGAAGATAATTTATGAAATGTAAATTTAAAAAAATTTTTTTGAAGGTTTAGTTTGATGAGTGTGACAGAAATACACATCTTGTACCCATGACCCCAGTCAAAGGTCTAGAGCATTTCTGTCACTCCAAGTCCCCTCGTGTACCTTGTGGTTGATCCTTCCCCAGTCTCAACCCCTGAGAACCAGTAAGTGATCTATTCCTTATCAGTGTAATTTTGCCTTTTCCAGATGTTATATTATGTCACTGTTTTGTCTTTTTTTTTTTTTTTTTGGAGAAGTTTTTGCTATAGGGCACGTGCACTCACAAGAAAGACAGAGAGAGACAAAGAGACAGAAAGCGAGAAATCCCCCTCCAGGGGGGGATGGCCATGCCACAAACCTTTCTCCATTCTCCTCTTGGGATCTTGGGCACACATGCACACGCGCCCAGCGTGAGTTTAAGCCTCCGGATCCGGGACTCGAACCGCGATCGGCTACATGGGAGTCCAGCGACATAGCCATTATGCTAACTGCTGGTCCTTGTCATTTTTTTCTATGTAGGCTTTTTTTTCCTTTTGTTTAATGGCCAGAGGGCATGTGCACTCTCCAGAGAGAGAGAGAGGGAGAAAGCACCCCTTATGAGATATGGTCACCTCACAATCCCTTCTGCATTTCTCCATCTTGTCAAGATTTTGGCCACACATACACATATGCCCACCATGTTTTTTAAGCTTCTGGGACCAGAATTTGAACCGCCATCAGCCATGCAGTATTTGGCTCTCTTACTCACTAGACTACAAGGGCTGGCTCTGTATAGGCTTTTATGTCTGCCTTTTTCCATTGAGGATAATGCTTTTGAGGCTCATCCGCATCGCAGCCTGCGTCACTGTTTCCCTCCTTGTTAATGCTACCTAGCCCTTCATTGCAGAGTTGACATCACAATGTACCCACCCATTTATCAGCTCATGAGCATGCGAGTCGAGTTGCTTTGCATTGGTAGGTTTTTCTCTTCACTTCTGTTTTTCCCCTGTAGAGTATTTGCCGTAGAAACCGGTTCATTGGTTTAATAAAGTTCCTGGCATTCTGGACACAGGAGATTGCATTCTGGCGCTATAGTTTACCATCTTGGGTTTTCTGAGGGTGGGTCTGGATTCAAGTTAGAGTTTTGGCCAGACTCAGGGCTATGAAATGCTGAATCTTCATTCTATCATTTTTTCCTTCATTTATTAACTAGATGAAATATACAGAGAAACTTTCCTGCATGAGAAACGTGATTATCTTATGTAATTATCCAGTGGTGCAGGTATAACATTTTGAGAGAATTTTTTTCTTTTTCTTTTCTTTGGTTTTTGTTTTGTTTTGTTTTGTTTTTGTTTTTTGTGTTGTTTGTTTGTTTGTTTTTGTTATAGGGCACATGCACTCACTGGAGGGCCAAAGAGAGACAGAGACAGAACTCACCCCAGGGGGATGACCACACCACAATCCCTTCTCCTCCATTCTCCTCTTGGGAGTTTAGGCATACACACATGCATTCGCTGTGAGTTTAAGCCGCTGGGTCTGGGATTTGAACCATGGTTGACTATGTAGTAGTCCGGTGACATAACCATTATGCCATCCGTTCATCCCACATTTTGAGCATTTTGAAAAGATGAATCTGGCCTAAAAACTCAGCCACATACCCAGAGACAACCTGATCAAACCAAAGTGTCAGCCCATTAACTGCTCCCTCTTCCCACCCCGCTCTTGGGCATCTCTAAAACTGCACCTGATGGTGTTCTCTCTCCTTCTTAGAACTCCAGTGCAGACCATCGAGTCCGACTGGACCTGGGCCTCTGGGACAAGTTCAGTGAACTGGCCACCAAGTGCATTATTAAGATCGTGGAGTTTGCTAAACGCCTGCCAGGCTTCACCGGCTTGACCATCGCAGACCAAATCACCCTGCTGAAGGCCGCCTGCCTGGACATCCTGGTAGGTGCCTTTCTGACCTTTGGGGTGGGGGTTACAGTTAGAAGAGAAGGAGAGAGGGAAGGAAGGGGCTTGAAAGGATTTGAAGATTTCAAGGGGGCTCTGATTTCCCCAGCCCCACTTCCTGCTACCCCTGGGCACACTAAGTTCTATCCTCTCTGCTCAAATCTCTGCTGACTGCCAGCCACTGAGATTTCCCCTGACATTGGACAGACCCTTCTTCCCCTTCTGCCCTGCAGTGGAACCCTCTCTACATAACCTTGTGAGGAGCCAAGCCAGTCCCGGGCGCATGCTTTCAGTGATGGCTTGCTCACTGCCTCCTGAGGCAGCCTTTCCCAAAGCAGGTCAGGTGTGCTTGTGAGCAAGTTCCTCAGACTGAGGAGGGACCATCTTTCTCCCTTCCACTCCCACTCTCCTGCCCTGGAGCCTCACAGGGCATTTACAACCCTCCCCACTGACAGCCTGGAAGTGTTTGCAAGACCATGAAGACGTTCTGGGCTAAATGGGTCAGAGATGACACAGCAGCACCCTGGCTCCATATCTCACCCCCCCCCAACTCCCTTTCTGACACCCCTGCATCACATGAGCACCCCACAGGGCCTGGAGCCTTCTCAGCTACCTCCATCCATGGTCTCAAGAAAATCCCTTCTCTGTCTTAGTTCAGGGTGCTCTAACAGAGACTGGGGAAATTAGACTTTTTAATGCTTTCCTGATACTTGTAAAGTTCCTTAGAGTTTGACCTAAGCCCCAGAACACCCTGAAAATATTAGTAGAGACTGAAGTTAGCACCACGTGAGAGGTCTCTCCAAGCTTGCGGTGGCCCAGGGGACTGTAGGTGACGCCAGGAAATCAAGTCTGCACCAGGGAATGCTTGGTATTCCTGACAGCCCTGCATCACACGACCACCACACAGGGCCTGGAGCCGTCTCAGCTGACATTGACCCTCTGCTTTTTCTTATTCCTCCTTTCGTCTAGTTGCCAGATGATGTTCGTTTGTGACCCTCCCCCCAACCTCAGCTCTTTGGGAAAGTGTGGAATGAGAGCTTTGCTTTGAGATCCCCCAGAAAAGTGTCTTGTTTTAACAAAGTCACACGCTCCATGGGCAGGGCACAAGCTCCACAAGATTTGAATCCCCAAATCCAGCCTCTAGTAGATATCTCCATTCATCTCACGTTTGACCCAAACCCTGCGCTCTCCCCTGACTTACCCATGTGTCTAGGAACTAGCTCTTCAGTGGCATCAGGTAGAACAGAAACCAAGTTTTGAGACCTTACTCAAGTTATTTAACTACTCCAAACTTTAGTTTAACTACATGCCACATAGAAATGTAGGCCAATACGGCATTAAATAATTACTAACATAAGAATAAATCTGGTAACAGGGGTAAGCACTGGCGGGAGTAGGTGCCCAGTTGATGATGTTGAAAGCAACAGCAAAGCTGGGTAAAGCCCATGTGGGTGGTTTCAGCCTCTGAGTCAGGAGTCAGGAAACTCACTCCTACCTGGGTCCATGAGGGTGAGGAGTCTGGACTGGGGGACAACAGGCAGAGGAGGAAAAAGCCTAGTCGGGGAAGGGGGAAGACCTCCAGTCACATGAGACAAAGCAGAAGGAATACTTATCTGGCCCCACATAAGAGCTCCTTTCCAAGAACGTATAGCCAAGGCAATTAATCACAAGATCCTGAGAAATGCACAACTTCAAAGTGCATCTTTTGGATGAGAGTATCAACTGGCTAAGCTGTTGGGAAGAATTTTCTTATCTAAGCTGTTGATGTCTGCATAGAGTGAGACAGAGAGACAGACTCACAGACAGACACAGCCCGAGGCTTCTCTCAGCCCCTAGAAAGGTGATTGACACCTGTCAATCGAGTCTATGCCAGGGAATGCTGGGTATTCCTGACACCACTCATCACATGACCACCCTGAGGGCCTGGAGCCTAGAAAGGACCACTGAGATTGCCCGGGGTCTCCAGCTCCCACTCAGAGCCCACTGTCTCACGGTGGTACGTGTGGTCCTCAATGTGTTAGGTTGCACACTCACCCCGATGGCTCGGACACAGGAAGACACAGTCGGCTGTGAAACGTGTAGCCAGGGTCCAGGGCTGGGCTGGTTTATGAGCACCTGTGAGGCAAGTGGGGGCATGTGGGAAGTCTTTGCCCATCTCCAATTTACCGCAGTATCTATTTCTTCTACCTCACCCACCCACACATAGCACCATGTTGATCTGGCTACCCTTTGGCTTGGCTCCAAGTATGGGTGATGCCGTGAGCTTGCCTGGGTTCAATCTCTGGTGCTTACTAGCTGTGTGATGTGGGGAAGTTACCTAATGTCTCCGAGCCTCTGTGTCCTCATATTTAAAATGAAGGCCACGATAGAAGCTCCCTTTTAGGTTCCAGAGAGAACAGGATGACGTGGCAGAGAGCGGGGAGTATCCTCTCCACGTCTTGAGCTTCAGTTGCCTTACGTGTTGTTATTCTTACTCCTGCGACCCCCTCAGGGGTTCTGTTATTATCCACATTTTGCGGATGAGCCAGGTGAGGCCCAGGGGAATGTCAAAGACCGATAGGCCTCCCTTGAGGGAGTTTTCAGCCTTTGAATAAAAGAAGACAAAACTGTCTTTACAAAGTAGTAAGAAAGTTTATTCCTTGGCCAGGATTTGTTTCAAGCATGGAGGAGAACTTGACAAGTAGTTGGATCTTTTATTTTTATATTTTTTAATTTTTTTAAAAGACTTTTTTTTTGCTATAGGGCACATGCGCTCGCTGGAGAGGCAGAAAGAGATAGACAGAAAGCGAGAAATCTGCCCCCAGGGGCGATGGCCACACCGCGATCCCTTCTCCTCCATTCTCTTCTTGTGATCTTGGGTACACATGCACATGTGCCTGGTGCGAAATTTAAGTTGCCGGGCTCAGGACTAGAACCACGGTCAATGATGTTGAGTCCAGTGACATAACCACTATGCCATCTGCTGGTCCCAGTTGCATCTTTTACAATGAAGTTAGACCACGTGGCAACACGTGGAGGGATGACAGTTCACTTGTGATTCAGAAGGCAGTTTCCATGTTGGCCCCTGGTCGAACCACCAGGAAAGCCGGAAGTCAGAGTGATGGACGGCTGCTGCTGACCTCTCTGCTCAGGAGTGGGGTGCAGGTGGCCCACTTCTCAGCTCAGGGTTCTGGCTGTCTTGCCTATGGGGCTGCTCCTACATGCCCACCTGGGAGAGGCTGCCAATCCACCCTGGCCTACATGGGCACCTCTCCCCACTCACCTCCTGTCACCCTCAAGCCTCAGGCAGGCTCTTTTGTGACCCAGAGTCTTTGCATACTTGGTTCCTTATAGCTAGAAACCCTCCCCCTGCCCTCTCTTCCTGGCCTACTCCTCGTCTCAAATTCTACACCGTCCCTTCAGGAGTCTCTCCTGACCAGCCACATGTCTCCCCCCTCCACAGCTGGTCTTCCACTGGACATAAGAGAGTACAGTAGTTAGCAATGTGTTTACCAGAATTTTTTTATTATTATTAAATTCTTTTTTTTAAGAGAAATACTTGCTATAGGGTGTGTGTGGTCGCTGGAGAGACAGAGAGACAGAGACAGAAAGCGAGAAATCACCCACCAGGGGGGATGGCCACCTGCAATCCCTTCTCCTCCATTCTCCTCTCAGGATCTTGGGCATGCACATACACATGTCCAGCATGAGTTTTTTTGGGGGGGAGAGGTTTTTGCTATAGGGTGCATGCACTCACCAAAAAGACAGAGTGAGACAGAGAGACAGAAAGCAAGAAATCACTCCTCAGAGGAGATAGCCATGCCGCAATCCCTTCTCCTCCATTCTCCTCTCAGGATCTTGGGCACGCACACACACGCCCAGTGTGAGTTTAAGTCACCGAATCCAGGACTTGAACTGTGGTCGGCTACATGGGAATCCAGTGACATAACCATTATGCCATGTACTGGTCCCACCAGAGTCTTCTCTCCCAGAATGTTGACTCAGGGTGGGAAGGCCTCATGTTAGAGTTCGTTTGTGTGTCCCAGGCACAAAATAGGCAGTCAGTGAACGTTTGTGGGTGATGGGAGGAAGGGTGGTTGGAGAGATGAGCAAATGAATAGAGCAAAAATTCCAGTAGGACCTGCCTCCGACGTTGAGTCTATGCAAGCATCAAGCGGGGGCTCTCCCTCTGGGACGCAGGGCTTCCTGGGGCCTGCCATCTGCTGCCCTCCTGTCCCTAGAGGAAAACATTCCCATGCCAGTCACTGTGGCACCTTGCTTCTGGTGACGTTCAAGTGACTGCCCATGTGACTGTAAAACATGATTAGTGGCTTCGAGGTCCTGCGGATCATGTGGCTCTCCGACCCTGGAGTATCATTCCCATGTGAACCTACCCCTCCCTCCCTTCCCAGAGACTCAGTAGATCCAGGCCCCAGACTGGAGTAGAGTGAGATTTGCATATGGAGCCCCATGGCCTGAGTTCAGGATTCACCACGCACCTGGCCACCCAGCCGTCATGGGGAGGTCTGTCAGCCTCAGTTGTTCACCTGAGGATTGGAGCAATGAGCCTGTCAGTCACTGGGAACATCTGTGAGGCAGCCAGGGTCATGGGGAAGAGGGCAGGCTGTGCGGTCAGCCCCTGGTCCAAAGCCCGGCCCTGCTGCATCAGGACCATGTGAACTTAGGGGAGCTAAGCGATCTCCGAGCCTCAGCCATCGCATCAGTGCAGCGGCCACAATCGTAGCTCCTCCCCGGCTAGGTTATTGGGAGAATTAACGGAGTTAACTCATCTCCAGCACATTTTAAGTATGCCTTTAGATACGCTGTCAGCCTCGCCATCCACGTGAGCACTGAGTAATCCCAGATTGTCATGACCTGTGTGTCCTGAGCTGCCAGGGATGGCATGTGGAGCTGCCCTGTCCCGTTCAGCAGCTATTGGACGCCTGAAATATGGCTGGTCCGAGCTGCTGTCACCGCAAAGTAAACCTGGACTTCAAAGATAAGGTGGACCATCTCCTTAATGATTGTTCTAAATATTGATTCTATTTTCTTTCTTTATTTTTTTTTTTTGGAGAGGTGTTTGCTATAGGGCACATGCACTCTCCAGAGAGAGAGAGAGACAGAGAGACAGAAAACGAGAAATCACCCCGCCCCCCAGGGGGGATGGCCATGCTGCAATCCCTTCTCCTCCATTCTCCTCTTGGTCGGGATCTTGGGCATGCATGCACACGCACCCGGTGTGAGTTTAAGTCACCTGGTCTGGGACTCGAACCAGGGTTGACTACGTGAAAGTCCAACAACATAGCCATTAGGCTAACTGCTGGTCCCGATATATTGATTCTATTTTGAAACAAACGTTTTTTTGGATATATTGGGGCCAGCAGGTGGCATGGTGACTACAGCAGATGCATCCCATATAGCTGATTGCGTGCTTCACGTTCTGGACCCACAGGGTGCGTGCGCATATGCGTGCCCCAAATCCTGGGAGAATGGAGAAAAGATCTCAGTGTGGCTCTCACCCCAGAGAAGTGCTTTCTCACTTTCCCCCTTCTCTCTCTCTGGTGAGTGCATGTGCCCTAGAGCAAATTAAATATGTATGTGTGTGTGTGTGTGTGTGTGTATACCATTCGCTCAAAGAGAGTTTTAATCCTGGAGAAGAAATCGTGGTTGCCACTAGCATTTGACATTAGTGTGACAAAAATGAAACGACTTCATTTCTCTCCAGAGACAGGACCAGCCAGACTCTGGGAGGAGGATGCCTGCTCCCGCTGGGCCCATCCTGTCTAGAGCAGGGCAGGGCAGGGTGGGGGGTGGAGGTTCCTCAGGTAACAGAAGACACTGAGCAGTCATTTTCTCCAGCCATGGGGTGCCTTTCTGGATGGACCTATCCCGGCTTGGGTTTTGAATTTTCTGAGACTAAAAAAGCAAGAGGGCCTACTGTCCACACGTCATCAGAAACCAAGTATTTCCCGACTTTTGAGGAGGAAGACTAGCGCCGTGTGTGTGCGCGGAGGGTGGACTTGGGTTCCTGAGTTGTGAGACAGCTTCCATCCTGACCTCGCATTCCTGTCCAACAAGTCCCCAGCTGCTTTCAGTCCTGCAGGCCACATCTCAGCTGCGTGGGCAAGCTGCAGACTTACTTAGAACCCATTGATTCCAGACTGGAAATGCACCTGGAGGTTTGAGCCCCAGATGTTGAGCTAGTAAGGTAGTAACTTGTGACCTCTGTCAGCAGTGGGTCCCAACATTCCTCCCGGTGGTGGCAGGAACGTGGGACGAAGGACCAGGAGCCCCGTGTTCTCGGCTCTGGCAAACATTGCCACGTGAGTTCAGGCACCGAGACTCAGGGAACATGAGGCTTATGCACCGTGACCTCTGGGTCTCCTTGCTGCTCTCACGTGGGGTGACTCCCTGCCCCGTCAGCAGTGACGTGAAGTAAGCCAGGTGAGGACTGGAGGTGTGATCTGGCTGCCAGAACTGGGCAAAGGTCTGAGTTCCGAGAACCACCGCCCAGCCAGTGACGAGAAGCCATCCTGATGTTTTGACAACTACTTGCATTCGTGGCCCGAGGCACCGGGGTAATATGAGCAAGGAGGAGGGGGCTTTCGTACCTAGGGTGTCCTCGTGGGAGGGTGTCAGCGCCCTCCCCCTCAGAGAGCAGCTCCCCTCGGTACACGGCCATGTAACAGGAAGGGCAGCCTCTCTGGGTGGACACAAAGGTGGATATTAACGGGGGCTCCCCCCAGTCAAACTGAGCACCAGCATCTGGAAAGCACACAGTTCCCTCAGCCTACAGAGTGGTTCCCACTTTCCAGGGGATTAACTTCTCTGCTCGGAGGCTTTTCCGGTTGGGAAAGTGGAACAGAAGCCCCGTGAGCAGAGGCCCTTCCCTGCTCTTGTGCAGAATGTGGTTCTGGCTGGGTAAGGGCTCTGGGATGCACCGAGCTCCTCACCAGCAGCGAGGATTCCTGGGGCGGTGGGAACACAGACAGGGACAGGGCTGACTATATACACAGCAGGCCTTTTCGGCTGATCCTACTCTGAGGCCTAGAAGCTCAGTGCAGTGGACAGGCGCCCCAGAGTGGCCAGCAGGCGTAGGTTTCCAGGGTGACTGGGATGGGACTGGGAGACTATGGGAGCCTGACCCAGGCTTCTCGCCTGGAGAAATTCTGCTTAGACTTCAGGGTTTGGTTGCAACGCCCCCTCTTCTCCAGGGACCTGGCCTTTGACTTCCTCTTGGCCATGCGTTGAGTTTTCCTGTTTCTGAACTTCCACACCTCGCCGGTTTCACTCCAGGACCTTGCACTAGAACCGTCTGTGTAACTGTGGTGGAAACCTCGTGGAAGAGCCTAACTTGGGTTTGAATTGCATTTGGTTACACGCTGTCTGTGTGACCTAGGGCATCCTGCTTAACCTTTCTGCGCCTTGAGTTCCTCATCTGAAAAATAATAATATTCACTTTACCAAGAAGTTTGAAAGTTTGCATAGATACAACACATAATATACACTAGGCATTTAATACATGGTGCATATTGTACTTTAGTTTTGGCAGACTATATATTCTTAAACAAAACAAAAAAAAAAGGAATAGGCCCTTCTTCATCTTTTTCTTTCCAGTACCTGGCATACTGCCTGGGACATAAGTAGGTACTTAGTAAATGTTTATTTGAATCAAATGATGAATTACTCTTCATACAAAGACAGTTTTCCAAACTCCTTTTGTCTTATTTCTTCTTCCCTAAATAATTGAGCCCTGTGTTTTGACACTGCAGTGTTTAATGGAAGAGCTGGAGAAGACATTGCAGGTCGGAAAGGGGGCGCAGGGCTCCACGTGATGCAGAAGCCGCGTGTGGAGCCTCCGTGCACCTTCCTGCTCACATCCCACTCAGGCTCTGAGCACAAACCGGCCTGGGTGACCCATTAATGTGTTTTTTTTTTTTTAACTCTTTTTTTTCCAGATTCTTAGAATTTGTACCAGGTATACCCCAGAGCAAGACACCATGACTTTTTCAGATGGCCTTACCCTCAATCGAACTCAAATGCACAATGCCGGCTTCGGTCCTCTGACTGACCTTGTGTTCACCTTTGCCAACCAGCTCCTGCCTTTGGAAATGGATGACACTGAAACAGGCCTTCTCAGTGCCATCTGCCTCATCTGTGGAGGTACTAACGACCTAAGCCCTCATGAGATTCCTTGGAGAACAACTTAACGTTTGTAGCTGCTGGGAAATCCCTCATCTTTATTTTGGAATTATTTCGCATGAGAAAAAGAGACGGGAATCAAGCCAGGCAGAAATGCCTAGAGTTGTGGTATTTTTCATCTTGTTATAAATTAAACAATGGTATTTGGGAATCCTTCTGCTCTCAAAGAAATGCCCAAGTATTCTTTATCCAATTGTTGTAGGTCTATTTTTTTAAGGCAGGATCAGACTATTATAAAATAAATCACCTAGGAACATTTTAATGATCACCCAAGGGACTCGCACCTGCTGCTTGCTAATTTAGTAGCTGGAAATACAAGTTATTGGCCACCCACCCCACCCAGCCCTTGGAAGGCTAAGATAAAATATGGCTTTCTTCTTTGTAGTGACCCCTACTGGTTCAGAGGAGGCTGAGTCATAAGTGGTTCACAAAGTAATGGTTTTAATTAAGGGGCAGATTTACCTCACTTTGAACCCAGCTCACGGTTGGTTTTAATTCAGTTTAGTAGTGACACCTCCTGGCCACGAGAGGCAATCCTTCCCCTAGGACAAAAGCAACTTCAATGTGTTCTAGACCAAGCTAGGGGTACAGTTACTTCCTAGTAATTTATTTACTAGTCTATAAAAGCGCATCACCATTGCTGTCCTGAAATCAATTTCTCAATACTTTGTTCCGGGTCTCTAGACCGCCAGGACCTTGAGGAACCAACAAAAGTAGATAAGCTACAGGAACCATTGCTGGAAGCACTAAAAATTTATATCAGGAAAAGACGACCCAGCAAGCCTCACATGTTTCCAAAGATCTTAATGAAAATCACAGATCTCCGCAGCATCAGTGCGAAAGGTGAGTCTAGACGGAGCTCTGCGCAGGAAGTGGACTCAAGGGCCTTAGCAGGCTGGGCTGTCTCTTTAAACCTGGTTCTTAAATTCAGAATATTTAATAGCCTAGTTTTCTTTTTTTAAGTTTAGAACTCATTTCTTATTGAAAACAAAAGGATTTCAATAGTACCACCCCTTACAAAATAAAAATCTCAGAGCCAGCAGGCAGCGTAGAAGTTATAGGACTGGATGCTCATATGGCCAACTGCAATAGGAGTCCTAGACCCAGTGGCTTGAAACTCATGCCAGGTGTATGTGTGTGCATGCCCTAAATCCCAAGAGGAGAAT